GTCAGACTCTGCTGTAATGTACTCAAATAGTCGAAATGTTACTTTCTTTGATTTCAAATTAATGAATAACAACCGGGTTCTAAGTCGTTTTTGTGTTATATTTTAAAGATCTTGTATTCTCGATGCATTAACAGTGAATCCGGATCCGAAATGTTACTATAAATTGCACTTATGACGACCTCCATGTCAATACAAAGATTATCCACTTATTAATTGCATTTTATGGTAAAAGGTGCCAAGGTAAAGCAGGAGAGAAGAAATCGTTTTAAAAAATAACACAAGTTTTAGTTGTCATTTGGTTGTTTATTTAGTTTGGTTGCTATTTTATGTTCAACATCTTCATTCATTTAAAAATATCTGGAAAAACTACTTAATCAGAAATAAGAAAAAGAACATACCTTCAGATATACACAGTTCAGCATGAACACGCAGGTAAAACAAATGAATTAAAAAGAAGAAAACTTGTATGGCGCTTACAATTATTGTAAATTTCTGTTTTCCTATAGTAATACAATTAAGAATGGTAATAGGGAATGTGACAGATACAACAACCCGACCAAAGAGCAGAAAACAGCCCAATTCCACCAATGGGTCTTCAACACAGCGAGAAAATTCCTGCACCTTCGGGCGGGCTTCGGCTGTTCTCTTAAGGGCATCCGATACAATTTCAAGGGAGATAACTCTTGGCGCGACGTTAAGCGTTCGAATTCTTGCAAAAAGTCACTTTCTGCAGGACGTTATGCGTGTAATTTTCCGTAATAAGAACGATATTTTGTATAATCGATGCTCCAATTTATGTTTCTCACACAGGTTAACTACTACACCATTAAGCTTAGTGCATTTGATTCTAACATGATAAAAGTCTAATAAAATTATCAGAATTTAAACACATATTACTGTTTCTGCTGTTCGTCATTTTAATGCTTCTGTGAGATCTTCATCAAAATATCGTATAGTGAGCAATTTCAAGACGACTGACCCTTTCGGTGTTACTAATTTAATGCATGTCAGTTATCATTCTTATTATCATTTATCATCCATGATCGAATTTTTATTTGGATCCGATTTTCTGACATTTTGTTACAGCACAGAAAAGCAAAATCTAATACCGAAAGTTCAGGTACATGAAGAAGAAAATTTCCTAACGGAACATTTTATTCCATTTATTTATGTAAAATGACGGATCGACAGCAAATACAGTGCAATTTCCAATATAATTAATTTTTCCAAGGGCATAACTCTTTTCAAAAATAGTAGATAGGCACTGATTTTCTAACGTGTCCATACGATATAAGTTTTATAAAAATCTGTCAAGAATTGAATGCAATATTTCTATGTACCCCGCAACGCGACGCGCAGAAAAAAAACATAGTTATTTACCAATAAAATTACGCTATAAGAGAAGTATTTGGATTTTAATCGCAACTTTAAACCCCTCCCCCCCCCCTCCCCCAAAAAACAGCATTAAATACTGAGGAGAAAGTATGCCAATATAATATTACAAAACCGGGAGAGGTAGGGCCAGTTTTCCATAACTACACTACAAACCAGTAAAAGTCTGAAATGGCCTATATTTGTACTCGACTGTACTGATTTTTACTCGACCAGTCTGATTTGGTCTGAAAGTTACTTGATAATACTCGACTGTAGTCTGAACCATACTTAACAGTCTGAACTCGTACTCAACCTTTACTCGACCAGTACTTAACCATTTTATTTTCGTCTGAACCATGCTCGACCTAGTCTGAACCATACTCGACCTAGTCTGAACCATACTCGACCTAGTCTGAACCATACTCGACCTAGTCTGAACCATACTCAACCTAGACCTAATTTTTGTATCTATCTATTGTATTTCATCAATTTAGGAACTGTTTTTAACAGCTATTTCCCCTGGCTAGAAATTTGAACAATACTTTGAAATTTAAAATGTATTCAATATGGCATTGAAACCAAAATTTCACAATAAACATAATATAAATTCAACACCATATTTATCAACACTTACATATATATATCACCTTTAAAATAAAAATAAAACAAGCTGATCAAATAATCTCAAAACTGAATTGTGACTAATATTTTCAATGTTATTCAAATTTTTTTGAATGTTTCAGATATATTTTATGGTTAGTGGACAATTTTCACCATTTACTTAAGCCTTGTATAGATTTATGGTGTCAGTTGAATTTAGTCAATAATGCAGTGAACATTTTTTTATTAAAATATATTTAAAATAGTATATAAAGCAACTTAATAAATTTCAAAAATCACACCTTTGTTTTGTAAAACCAAGAATTTAATATAATCATTATAATAGAACTTCCATAGCAATCCTTGATAACCATTTAAAAAAGGAAATGTGTTCCAAAGTTGCAGAAAAAATTTATTTCAACTAAATTTAAATAACTTTTGTCAAAATTAAAGACATGGCATACAAGATGCACTTTAATAAGGTTTATTTACCTCAGTACATGTGTGTTTTACAGGTAAAAAGAAAGCTCTTTTTTCTTAAACTCGTGAATTACTTATCTAGTGAATTCAAAAGGCCTTGCGATTTAAATTTTACAGGATGTTGCAATTTTTAATGAATGTTAATTAGAAATTAATACTCTCTGAGTAAGGTGTGATCTTTTTAATGAGTTTGCCCCAAGCAGGAGGTATTACTTTATACTTTACCACTAATCAGAAGAAATTTTTTATCTATTTCTTTAATTTTTTTTTATCCCTTTTTGATATATATTATATATAATATATCCCAAATTATAATAAGAATAGATATATTTCTAATATAAGGTTAAACAATTTCAGTGATTTTTTGGCTGTTGTTACCTCATTAAAAAGATAATTTTTTAACTATTGTATGTAACCATGAAACCTATATAGTTTTTCTATAGGAATTTAGGAAAATTAAGTTTGAAAAAAAAAGAACACATGCCAAACAAGAAGCACCTTAATAAGGTTTTATTACCCTCAGTAAAGGTGTGGTTTTTAGTTCAAAGAAAATCTTTTTTTTTTAACAAAATTCTTAAAACTTTAAAATTAATATAATTAAATTATTATATAAGATAATTTAATTTAACTATCTCTATTTGATAAATCTGAGAATCATGTAAGGATGTGAAAATATGTTTTTATATATATCTTTGTTTTATTGTGGCTGTTGTCATGTCAGAAAAAAAGAAATTAATTTAACAGCTAAAATAAAAAAAAAGTATAGGTTTTTTGGTCAAGTATGGTTCAGACTGGTCGAGTATTGTTCAGACCTTTGGTCGAGTATGGTTTAGACTGAAAAAATTGGTCGAGTATAGGTCGAGAATGGGTTAAGACTGTTTCAGACTATTTTCAATGGCAAAGATAAGGGTCAAGTACAAATCAGTACGGTCGAGTATGGTTAAGACTGGGGTCGAGTAATGTCAAGTAAAATTCAGACCAATTCAGACTGGTCGAGTAAAAATCAGTACAGTCGAGTACAGATATAGGCCATTTCAGACTTTAACTGGTTTGTAGTGCTATATATTACACACAGTTGGACTTTATTTAAGACCTCATGTAAGTAACCTTTGTGATGTGATCCAATGGAAATTAGTATTTACAAATGAACCTTAAAACTGGTTAAAACAGTGGAAGGCTCAGAGTTTATTGACCAGAATAACAGTTTGATTTTATGAATATTCTTAAAAGAGATTAAAATGTAAATAAAAGGATTTTAAGGGATATGTTAATGAAACAGCAATCCACCAACCAAATAAAAATAAATCTCGAGGTCAACATATGATCTAAAACAATACACGACTGTGTACGGTACCTGCATGTCAAGTTAAATTGACGCCAGTCTTTAAATTGAGCAACAGTCCGCAATCACTATGCTTGAGATGTTTCTCACTTGGATCACAAACAGAGAGAGGTATTTATGATACACATGATTTTCTTTCTTAAAATATTTTCAATTTATAAGAAGCTCTATATAAGCAATATTAATTCATCTGACAATTGTCGCCGATTATTTGCAGCGATAATTGAAGGGAAACGTCGAAATTGTCTGCCAGCGACGTCGTGCATTTTCGCGCTAACGTTGAGGTTACTTAGGGGGACGTAAGTTTTAGGATAAATCGCGATTTATCTTCGATTCCATCACGGCGACATATATATGTTTTATTTGCTATTTTGATTTAGCATGACAAAAGACAGATTATGAAGAAAAATGAGAAAAATGACATAACAAGAACCTCTTGATTTCCACATTTTAACGACACGACGGGTGCCACATGTGGAGCAGGATCTGCTTACCCTTCCGGAGCAGCTGAGATCACCCCTAGTTTTTTGTTGGGTTCGTGTTGCTTAGTCTTTAGTTTTCTATGTTGTGTCATCTGTACTATTATTTGTCTGTTTGTCTTTTTGTTTTTGGCCATGGCGTTGTCAGTTTGTTTTCGATCATTGAGTTTGACTGTCCGTCTGGTATCTTTCGTCCCTCTTTTAAGGTAAATAAAAATCCTACTTTAAGCATCTTATCCGTAATTTTGAGCATGGCTTGAATTACTCACTAGTCATTCTTGTAGGGATCTATTTTTCCCTTATTTTCACTTATCACAGCATCAGATTGAATCCAATCTTATCAGTTAATGACGAAGAATATCTTCTCCGAAATTATGAAAACTTTGCCAAACCATTTTTACAAAAGTGCAAAATACCCCAATTGTCAGCCTCAATTATCTCGAAAACAAGCACGGTGACCTATGTTTTATTTGGTGATCTCTTTTATAACTCGCCCAGGCCTATAACCTATTTCAAAATTATAAAAATGACAATATAACGTAAAACTGTATCGGATGCCCTTAATAAAAAAAAACGTGTACTACTTCAGTGAAAATGGACGTCACACTAAACTCCGAAACATAATTATGAATGAGCAAAAAATAAAAAATAAAAAAAACGTAACAAAGACCAAAAACTGTCTTATAAAATTGTAGCAGAAACATAAACACTATGTTTTGTTTCAGGTTGAAAATAGAAAAAGGGAATACGATAAAAACTTTCGTCGAATGTTTGAAGAACAAAAAAAGATTAATCACAGGAGAGGGATCTACTTTATTTCTAACAAATACCCAGATGAAAAAGAAATTGAAAGCCTGAAAAAACATATTTGGCAAACTGCAACGGAGATGAATTATTTTTCTGAGAAACGGCCTACAAGGTGGATAAATCTAGAAAATGCCCTGGAGGTTTTAAAGGATATGGGGGAAACAGTTTATTCATGGAAGAATACTGTGAAATTAGCTGAAAAGAATTCTATAGAAGAAAAAGAACTGGTTCTTTTCCTGAATTACCACCATAAAATTGGGAACATAATATTTTTTGATGATAAACCTGATTATATTATTCTGCAGCCAAATTGGTTAGTTAAGTGTTTCCGATGTCTCGTATGTGATGAACAAAAATATAGCTCAGCAACGGGGACTGAAATATTCAAGCTTAAAGTTAGAGGAGAATTATCAGAAACACTACTTGATGAGCTTTTTGAAAAAGATACCGACTTAAAATTTGGAGAATATAAACCTCATATTCTTGATGTAATGGAGAAGTTTGACATTATAGTAAAACCACACTTTTCAAATAGTGACACTAAATCATATTATATGCCATGCATGATTGAAACCTCATCTTCTCTAACAGAACTTAAGGAAAAGTGTTTTAATGCACAAGGCCACTGTACACCTTGGTTGGTACTCGAATTCGAATTTCTTCCCGTTGCATATTATAATCATATAATGTTTGATTACATTAGACAATATACAGTCTGTGAAGAAGAACGAGGACATCCAACCATTTACAAAGGGAAAGCAGTTGTCTATTTAGATGAAAAAGATTCCAAACTGTTAATTATCTGCTTCTCAAAGAATGCTATAGCATTACAGATATGGGAATGGAAATGGAGTGATGCAAATACTGAGCTATATGAAAAAATTTTAAAAGAGCTTTGCGGCAAAATTGATAAATTAGAGGATCGATTAATCCACAATTTACATTATAAAATAAAGGCAAAATGTAGTACTGGAGATTATTCTCAAAGTTGCGGTAGAATCAGCTGTGAAGAACTAACTAGACAATGTACAGAAGCAGAGGAATACAACTGCAAAGAACATAAGGGTGTATGGCACAACAAGACCGAGATTGAGAACACATGGTTAAAACATGCTCCTGCTGTAAGTATTGATTGATTTGTTTCTATATTTTGGGCGGAGACACATGTAACAAGAAAATTATAAAGTCTTACTAATTAGCATTTGGAATTTTGAAAAATCTTCAAGGATCTAATAACGATGGTTAACTCACATCTTCGAATGTTATATATAAATATATCTTCGTGCCTAATATATCATGTACTGTGTTACTCTAGATAAGTTCAAATTTAAGTTATTACTGTGTTACTCTAGATAAGTTCAAATTAAATAGACCTGAAAAAAGGTTTTTACTTATCAATGGTTTAAACATTTTGTTGATCATATATATTTATTAGATTTCGCAATTGAACACATGTTTTAAATCTCATTGGTATGAAATTTACGCGACTTTATATTTTAAACATGACCTGGTTAGTTTGAAGAGAAGTATTTACGTGTACGGTCTAATCAAATAGATGTAATAAAACATACAACACACGTGTGATGTCCATCACTGAAACCTGCCTGATTTTGAAATCAAAATGTATTAATAACATAGTCACGTATTTCATATAAAATACTATGTTTTAAAAATGCAAGATACAAGTGTAATTGATTAAGATTTGTGTTGCTTAACTTAATACCTTTGCTTTTGAACAATCAAATGACATTCACCTGTAAGTACAAGGAGTTATTTGTTTTCTCTACACGTAGCACTTAATCAATACCTCTGCTGGCAGACTGTTTACTCTGTACAACTGTAATGATTCAAATCATACATGTTATTATTGAAAATTTATATAGTAATAAGTTATATTATTACATTGGTAGCAATGAATTACATTGATTTCCCAGTCAAATAAAAACCGATAATTTCACATGTGAAATAAACGTGGTTATTTCACTCTCTGACGTCAAACAACATTAGGCGTTGTCAAGACGTCGATAACGTCGGATCAAAACAAATTGTGAATGCGTAGAAAAAAGATATAGTTCCTTACGTTTTCTACATTAATTTCATTTAAAAAAAGCCATTTGCCAATGTAATAAAATGAATAACTAATCAAAGAATTCAAATATCGAAAAATATTCAACTCGTGACCGAACAACACTGATAATTAACTCATGCGCTACGCGCATTCGTGAATTAATGTGTTGTTCGGTCACTCGTTGAATATTTTTCTCTATTTGAATTCTTCGATTAGTTATTCTATAAATATATAATAATTAGTTACATCCAATTCATTTGAACTTTGGTGGATAGTTTTCTCATTGGCAAGCATAACACATCTCCTAATTTTTATTGTAAGAAAATAAGGTTCAAACTTACAAAGTTGACATAAGATTGTTTGCCAATACGTTTTTTAATCCCTCTTGTTGACATGGCTACTATAATATTTAAATATCTTTGGCCTTATTTGCTTTCGAAGTGAGGGTTGATGATTCACGGAAAATACTTCGGACGCACAATATGTACAAAATGTTATTTCTTTGTCTAATATGCAATTATGCAACGTCTTTACATAATACTGTTGAAGTTAAGTATATGTCAAACACATTTTGGGTCATTTAAGACGGACAGCAAGGTTCATTTGTAGTCTCTCTCAGTCCAACTTTCGGTAACTAAACAAAACTTTTCTTGTAATGCTGCATTCTATTGATTAGATATTTGATATATACTAGTAGTCATGTAATAAAACGTTACCAGTAAACGTCGAGTTCCTTTCATCCTCAAAATGTTTATTTCTTGGAAGAAAAAGAAAAAACTTGGAAAATCATTCTCTGCATTTTGTCTGTAATACTAAACAGTAATGGATAAGGTATTGGTATATAGTTGTATCACACGTCGTCCCTGTTGATCTTTTATATAGCCAATTGACAAAGTTCTTGAGATGGGTTATGTTGTCAGATTTCGAATATTTTATCCACATTAAATGAATAGTCTGATCAGATTGATAATAAAAATTTATATTTAAAACTATATCAGCAACACCTCTTAGCGAGTTTGAAATCATGAGTTTTATGTGAACCTCTTTCATAATTTAATGCTTGTCTAATGTAGGTGTAAAAGAGAGGCGAAAGATACCAGAGGGACATTCAAACTCATTAGTCGAAAATAAATTGAAACGTCATGGCTAAAAAATAAAAAGACAAACAGACAAACAAAAGTACATAAAACACAACATAGAAAAACTAAACACTAAGCAACATGAACCCCGCCAAAAGCTGGGGATGACCTCAGGTGCTCCAAAAGTGATTATAGTTTCGACATTAGGAACATATCCGCTATCATCTGGTAAACGAGTATTACATAAATATGTTACGCATGCCTTATCCCATGATAATGCTTGTCGATATGTGCTTTTCTATTCAAAAGTTTTGATAGTTATCACACTGCGTTTTTTCAGTATATTTATGGAGGTTTTGTAACAAATTGTGGAATGCTTTTTTCATGTTTAAACCTCAGTTGCATTTAGCAGAACTAATTTTGGTTCCCTGTCTTTAAAGATTGAGTCTGAGATGTTGGCGAAGAAGGAAAAACGAGCCAAAGAAATAGAAGAACTAAGGAATACAACAGGTATACTAGTAGTTTATTTTTTTTCCCCATTTATTAATCTAACAACAAAGTATATTGGAGTGTGTCCCACATCCCAAATAGAGTTTATGACGAAATCATAGTAAACGAGTAAAACTTTGAATTACAGTTGATATTTGTGTATGTGTTTAAATGTCGGTTTAACTAGCAGTTCAAGTCATTTATTAACTTAAGGTTCTTAAATTATCAAAGTTACAACTGTTAGAAAAAATATCTAAATTAAGTTTCAATTGCAACTTGTTTGCTAAATGGTGTTCGATCTGCAGTGTAGGATGCCTTATGACATCGAGATGGTTTTTTCAATTAGTTGTCATTCAAACTGTGAGTTTAGAATGAAGAACAGCAATAAAGCCTGTTCCTTTGCTTTTTGTGAGTGTTTTTGCTGTTCATGTATTGTTTTAAATCGACGACCAATATTTGGCTTCTCTAATGGACGCCCTTTTTACGGACTTGAGACAATGATGTCACAACATTATTTCATGAAAACAACTGTCATGTTCTTGATTTTATACAGGCATTTTCCGAATGCAAATTTCTGGTTTAAACTTCACTACTGTGGTCCGCAAATTGTAAAAATACAAAACATAGGTACCTAAGAGCTACGTTTCCACAGTTAGTTCAACCTCAAATTAAAAAGATATATAGATAGATTATTAATATAAGAAATTGTATGAGACCAAACAATATCACTTCTTAAAAATTGTTGGTAATTACAAACCTTTCTTAAAAAGAACAATTTCAAAATTGTACAAGAAAGGTTTATACGCGCTGTTTGCAATTTAAAGTCGTTTTTTCTCTGATTTGAAACTTTACCAGTCTATTCATCATGTAAATCGGACGTAGTTTTGGTAAAACACGATTTCACATTGAACGCCGATAAGATGGTAAAGATATTGGACAAAATGATTTTTAGAACGTGACTTGTCGATTTGAGGAATTGACGTCGATAAGAGACCGGAAGTCGATCTGATACTAACATATATATACATTTTTGGCATTGTTTTCATTTTCACATCTCGCCAAAAATAAAGTAAAGACAATATTTTAATTTAATAAAATGGAAAATTCATAAGCAATGCAGATCATCTCGAATGCTATGATTCAATAAACAATTATATCCATATGGTAACCATAGAAATATATTCAATTAATAAACAAAAGTTTTTTATGCTACATAGTTACCATGGAAACCATATAGAAGCATGGGAATTCATATGAATAAAAGCAATAGTAGTATTCCGCTGTTCAAAAGTCATAAATCGATTGAAAGAACACAAATCCGGGTTATAAACTAAAACCGAGGGAAACACATCAACTATAAGATGAAAACAACTGAACAACAGAAACACTGAAGTGCAACAAAAACAAACGTCAACATACATAGAAACGAACTATTTGATAACAACTGCCATATTCCTGACTTGGAACAGGACAATTCAAGAAAAAATGGTGGGTTGAACCTGGTTTTATGGCTAGCAAAACCTCCCGCTTATATGGCAATGTTAAAGAATATATCGCTAAAATTGCAACACTATGTGACAGGAATACAGCACAAACAAACGCAAGAACGCTTAGCACAGAGAAACGCACAAATAAATAATATAATAGTCGTTACAACCACCTGTAAACCGCAGAAAAACAACGAACATCTTCCATTAACGACAGCACAGGACAAAACAAACAGTGTCGTATTTTTGTGACGAATAAATAATCTTGAAATTTATACAATTATGTTCACAATATTAGTCCATTAAACAATTATCCTGATTACGACGGTATAGAAAGGCTATGTCAAATAAATGCTGTGACGACTTCATAATTATTTGGACAAACACAATACTTTCTCCATAAAAATGAAAATCAACTCTCGACTATTCTGACAAATAAGATATATGTGCATTACACAAAAATACAGAATGCAAACCACAAACGATAAGACAGAACACAATATCCCAACCGAACCCACAACAGAAATATAATAACTAAATACATGAATGTCGGATATAATAATACCGATAGACGTCGTATAGCAATGCAAATTTACACTCGGCTAAACAGTCATATTTGGGAATAGGTCAGTCGGTACTAAGTAGACACACGACACATAAGCCAATGTAAAGGACTTAACTTATTAATAACTTTTGTAATAAAATATATGAAAACAGTGGAATTAACTATTTTTGTAGTGTAAAAAATCTTTGGATGTTTTAGTTAAATTACGTGCATTTGAAGGTCTTTTTGATTCTGTTGACAGTTTCAACTCTCAACACTACACTTCCACACAATCTTATCAAACGAAAGTTTTCCTATTTATTTAAATGGTTGTTTGGTAAATCCGAATACAAATATCTTTGCTGTAACTGATTTAAAGCCTTCTTCACTAATGAGAAAGGTGAATATGATAGATTTACTTCTGGAGGTGTGATGAGATGATTGAAGCTGTTAATTTTCTCCTTGATTATATCTATGTACGTTTCGCCAATACAGTTTACCGACAGGTTGTAGGTATTCCTATGAGCACCAATTGCGCCTCTTTAATAGTAGACTTGTTCTTGTACTGTTATGAATCACAGTTTATGCCTACACTCAGTAAAGACCCGTCTAAATTGCATTTAATTGATACATTCAACAACACTTACCCTTATCTTGATGATATTTTTTTTGTTTTTTGTTAAATAATCAAGAATTTTCTAAATTTACTGCCGAAAATTACCGAAAGGAACTTTCCTTAAATAAATAAAAAATAAACGGTAATGACTGTCCTTTTCCTAGATTTAGATATTTAAGTTTTACACGAAAAACTCTACACTAAAATTTACGACAAAAGGGACGATTTTTTGTTCCCTATTGTCAATTTTCTATTTTTGGATGGTGATGTTCCTCTAACACCATATTACAGTGTTTACATATCACAACTCGTTCGCTATGCCCGTGTCTGTTGTGAAGTTTTGGATTTTAATGAGCGAAATCTATATATTACTGATTTATTATTAAGGCAGGGATTTCTTTACCACAAATTATTTAAAAACCTTTACTAAATTCTTCCATAGATATAAATATTTGGTTTTAAGGTTTGGTTTTACCTGTAGAAAACTTATTTCGAAGTGAATATCACCTCCTCATTTTTATGGAAATGTTGTTTTCGGAGCCCTGAAATTTAGAAACGATCAGCGTAAACTTATCGACCTTTTAAATACACTTATTTGAAAAGTTTACCAATTCAACACTGTAATTAGATCTTTAAATACTGTTTTATTGGTATTAATATTGATTTTGTTATCAGTAATTTAAAATCAAACTTAATATTATTGTTATATACATATTCAAATTCATGGCTCTACAATCTGTTGATACCTGTATCTTGGCATTGCAAAAGGTCATGTTTTTCTTTGACTGTTTATGACGTCTTTACACTAAATCCATTGGATGTTGGATCTGTACTGATTGATAATTTAGTCTTAGATGCATGTTTTTTTATTAGTTGTTATTGGCTTTGAACTAGCTGTCAGTAACTGCAAGTACTCTCAGATCTGTACCTAGTGTCTTTTTGTTGTTGAAATGTACAAGCACACGTCCAAGTCCACTGTGTGTTTTTGTTAGATGTATTTCTATCTGTATCCATTTAATGAGTTAAGCCTTTTTCTACTCATTTGTATAGGTTGTTCTTTTGTTGTACTGATACACGACTAACCCAGGTAAGGGTAGGGTTGGCGCTTTCAAACTAGTGTAACCTAACATTCTATATCTGCCTGTCCCAAGTCAGGAGCCTGTAATTTCAATAATTGTTGTTTGTTGCTCTTTATCATATTTGTTTTTCGTTTTTATATTGTGTTCTTGTTTTGTGCTGTTGCACCATTGTCGCAGGTTAGAGGGAAGGTTTGGCGCCGTGTTACTATTTTAACCCTTCCACATTGTGCATGGACCTGTTCCCAAGTCAGGAACCTGTATTTCAGTGTTTGTCGTTTGTTGCTGTGTTACATGTTTGTTTTTCGTTCATTATTTTGTACATAAATTAGGCTGTTAGTTTTCTTGGTTAAATTGTTTCACATTTGTCATTTGGGGACATTTTATAGCTGATTATGCGGTATGGGCGTTGTTCATAGTTGAAATCCGTACGGTGACTTTTAGTTGTTAATTTCTGTGTCGTATTGTCTATTGTGGAGAGTTGTCTCATTTGCAATTATACCACGTCTTCTTTTTATAACTAATCATAGAAATTAAGAAGGGATATACAAATAATGATTTGGGTAAACAAACCTGATTTACTATCATAAATATAGATTTATTTTATTATAAACAATTTGTAAAATAATGAAACTGAATAACTAGAAGTTGTATCAAAGCCACAAAATGTAGCTAACTTTAAATTGACCTATAAGTAAGTAAGTAAATAAGAAAGTATATTATTTATTATAGTAACTTGTGTTATTACAATATAGTGTCAAGTAACATAATACATACAAATAGACTTGACCCAATGGTTCTATAAGTCACATAAATATCAAAGTTCGTATTCGATTTGTGTCACGGATTCGAAAATATGTCTAAATAATCGATTTATCTAATCAGAAAATAAAACGATTAAATTAGGATATATTTCTATCAACAAATACAACTTGAAAATCGTTTTTCTTATGGGGTCCACCAGATATTTAGCAGTTTTTCGTGGAAAATGGATAAACACATGGTAAATGTTTTCGTCATTGCTCACTTGCAAGTAGTTGACATCTGATATAATATCTCCAAAATGATTACTTCTAAGTTTGGTATAAAACGACAAGTCAAAAACAAAATGTGATTCGTCTTCAATGCTGTTTTTGCTACAAAATCTATAAATGCGTTCTTCTCATTGTTCACCAATGTACCTACCCGTCTCTAAGCGGTAGAATCCCACATCGGAACTGTGCTATGCACAATCGCTGAGATTTTCTGAAATTCAGTTTAACGTATGATTCTTGTTCAACCGTTGCTTTCAGTTTAAC